CTCACAACATCTTAGTCCTCACAGGAGACAATGAGATTATCCTCATTAGACCAGTGGTGACATTCCAGGCCACTGTCCCCCTGCCATTCTATAAAGGCCACCTAGGTTAGAACTCAATTTCAGCATGGGTTTCTCAACAGCAGGAGAGATTGGATGACTTTAATGAAACTTGCACAGTTTTCAGGAAATGTCTGCATATGAAGGAAAGAGTTGAAAACGAGGAGATCCGTGCTGTAATCCCAGCTCACCACCTACTGGCCATAGGACTTTTGACACCATGCTGAGCCTTGCTGTGCTCAGTTTCCTTATCTTTGAGATGACGATAAGAGTTCATTACTCATAGGTTTGCTGTGAGGATGAAATATGATAAGATCTGTAAATGCCTACACAATGCTAGACACAAGACAGATGCTCCATAAATCTTAGCTTAGTCTCCCCTTCTTGATTTCATCTCCCTCTGAATTTCAGAAACTTATTAGAATTAACAACAAAAAAGTCAAAACTATGACAGATACACTTGATTTGAACCTCAACTCAAATGATAAATGAGTTTTCTAACTTTTGTCAATTTGTCTAATCTTTCTGAGCCATAGTTTTCTCATCTATAAAATAAGACTTAAAAGGCATTGTTCTAAGGGTCATTGAAGCTGTGCATATGGTCAGCTCTCAGCTCTCGGCATCTGGGGTTGTTGATGTTATTTCTCCCTGTAAATGACCAGGCCCCAGTGGAGGCCACTAGCACTTGGGAAGCTCTGTCTAGACTGGAAGAGAAGTTTGGAAGAAAGAGCCTGTCCCCTAAGCTCTTGGGTGGTCCCCATAGTACCACTAAGGAGCTCTACATAGCAGGGTTGGCTCAGGCTCCTGGACAATTCTAACACTCAATAGTAGCCACAGGGAACTGGACCCAAGACTGGGTCTGACTCAGCAACTCCTTGTTTTGCTCCTTCACTTCAATTTAAAAGGGCCTTGCTTGGCCATTCTATCAAAAATAATACTCTGTCTGCTCCCTCATCCTGCTTTGTTTTCTTTGCATCACTCATTTTCAGCTGTATTGTTTATCTGCTTGTCTATTTATTTGTTTCCCTCTCCTCTGCTGGAATTCATGCTTCCTGAGGGCAGGACCTTTGGCTAGAGTCTAGTAGATACTCAGTAAAAAGTGAAAGAAGGCTCAGGTATGTTGTGCCTCCTGCCCTTCGCTCTCTCCCCGTAAGAACCTGGTCCCTTTTCATAGCTTCCACTGTCCCTCACCTCTTGGTCACGCCCTATCTTGACCGCTGTCTGGCTCCCTTGAATGACTGATATGATCAAACTCAATGTAAACACAAAGGCAATGTCATTGGCTCATTCCTTCCTCCATTCATTCAAAAAACAATGAATTCATTGCTCATTTACTCTTTCCCAAGGAATTGTGCAGGTGCTGAAGATAGAACAGAGAACAAAGTCTCTGTCTGGTGAAATGGGTGACACATTCTGGAGGCAAACAGGCAAAACGTAAATGTCCCAAGATACTTACACAAGATACTGTGTTTTTCAAGATAAGAACTGGTATCCATGGATTGAAGGTATAGGGAAGAATGTTTCTTTCTTACTTTTTAAAGATTCATTTATTTATTTGAACATTTGAAAGGCAGCATTACAGAGAGAGAGAGACAAAGAAAGAGTTGGTTTCCATCCTCTGGTTCACTCCCCAAATGACTGCAACAACCAGGACCAGGCCAGGCCAAAGCCAGGAGCCAGGAACTACATCAAGGTTCCAGCATGGTTGGTAGGGACCCAGGTACTTGGGCCATCTTCCACTGCTTTCCCAGGTATGTTAGCAGAGAACTGGATTCAAAGTGGAGTAGCCTGGACTTGAATTGGTTCTCATACGGGACGCTGGTACCACAGACAGTGGCTTAACTTGATTCACTGCAACACCAGCTCCAGGGAGGAGTGTATCTACTGAAAAATAAAAGCATTGTGACAGAAGGTATCTGACACAACTGGACACATGGCCAGGCAATGAAGTCCTTGCCCTAGAGGGATTCCAACCCCACCTGGAGAGACATGTGACAATTCTGCTGAGGCGGAATGTCTGGTTCTGTTTGGCAAATATTGATTGAGTGCTTCTAATCAATCTTTAAGCCACCTCCAAAAGCTTTGCCAATGGAAAGGTTGTATATCTTAAACCTAATCAATCACCATTTCATTTCATTTTCCCCAGTTGTCCCACAAGCCTTTTGCAAACTCATCCTTGCAAGGGGCTTCCGTCACCACATCGGCATGGGTGATGCCCAAGTCAGCACACTGAGGGCTGCCTTTTCTCCAAGCGGCAGCCTCACATTGCCAGCTCCCCAGGAGGCAGCACCAGAGAAGGCTCCACAAGCATCTTCCACATCAGTGTGTCCCAAGCAGAACTCAGATCCTCCCAAACCTGGAGCCTATCTGTGTTCTCTGATTTTCCAGAAGTCCCACTCAGCTCCCACGTGGTTCTGACTTTTTCAACTTCTACACCTAATTCTTGGCCTGGTCCTATCATCTCCCCATTGTCCCTTCCTTCCTGTCAACTCTGCCACAGGTCTTCATCACCACTTACCTAGCAACTGCTGTGACCGACTGGTTGGTTTCCAGTGCTCCCTCCAAATCATTATTTTATCTTCACTAGCCTTAAAGCACAGCACGAATTATGTCACCTCCGCTCTTCTCAGAAACTGAGCCTTCTGCTGGGCATTTGGCACCTCAGTTAAGACACATGCATACGATACCAGAATGGCTGGGTTGGAGTTCTTGCTTTTCTTCCAATCCAGCTTTTCTGCTAATGGGCACTCTGGGAGGCAACAGGCTCAAGTACTTGGGTCCCTGCCACTTGTATGGGAGACCAGATTGAGTTCCTGGTTCCTGGCTTCAGCCCAAATTGGCTTTGGCTATTGGGGATATTTGGGGAATGAACCAGTGGTTTGAAGATTTTCCTCTCTCTTTCAAATAAAATGAAAATAAATAAGTAAAAATGGGTTTTTTTAAAAGGAAAAAAAAGAAACTGATCCTCCCCAGAGGCTGATCAGCCCTGGTTGTGGGCCTCAGGGCTGCCCCAACCTCAGTACACATTGGGTTTGTACCAACACCCAAGATAGCAATGAAGCATTCCATTCCCACAAGGAGGGTGGTGAGTGGACTTTGGGTCCCTGATAGCATACCAGACAGTAAAGCCTACTAAAAATGCCAGGTCTTGGTATTTACTTCCCCCACAACACAGCCCCCTCTGACTGTCCATCTGATCTCAGAGCATCCCACCCACCAGCTCCCACTACCTCTCAACAGGTCCCCTCTCCACCTGCATCCCCTTCCAGACCTTTGTTCATCCTTATCCAGCTCCTCTCAACACCATATCCCCTGCCTCCCCCAGTCTCTGCTTGTTGGGAGCTCTGGGAGGCCAGGAATTTTGTCACGTTGTTCATTGCCAGCATCTAGAAAGATGCTTAAAAAACAATGGCTGTGGCTGGGACAGTTCCTACTCTGATATTCCCTTTACCTTGCACACAGCTGCATGCCCAGCCAATTCTCTGCCACCGTGCATTGACCTGTTGAGTGTTAAAGTTTTAGACAAGCCCAGAGGCACTCTATTTCTCTTTCTTCTTCACAGCTTGCCTGCACCAGACACTCCCTAAAAGACAACACATGATTTTTGGCCTCCTTGGACAAGAGCCTCCCTCCTTGGTTAGCCAAGTCTTACTAATGCAGCGTCATCTTCCTCCCACCCTAACTCCTCCAGCCCTTTTCAGTCAGCTCCCTTTGTGTTTCGGGAATCCAGGGCACGCTTATGTTTGATTCCTTTGTTCCCATGGTAACCTGATTCTTCGTTTTGGCACTGGCTGAGATAAAATATAATGCCCTGGAGGAGAGCTTCTTTGAAGAGAGGGAGTTAGAGACTTATTAACAGACTTACAAAAGTAAAGTCTATGCTTTGTGTTTATCTCCTCTCAGGAGCTCAAAGCACTTTATGAGCATTCCTGAACTCACACTCAGACACGCTTTTGAACGGGGAGAGCTGGGGCACTGTGTCATTCTCCCTGTGCGGACAGGAAGCCAGGGCAGGGAGGAGGGAAGCCACCTGTCCAGGATCATGGCTGAGTGCCCCTAGAGCTGGGCTTCCTTCATACTCTGGGGCTGAGTTCCTGGTAGGCATTTTTGCGCAGTTCGGTAATTGGAATTAGCGTGAACTGGGCTAAATGAGCAGAGAAGTCGTGGGGTTCTTGTCTTCACTCAAGAATTTAGGCCTGAGACAGAGAGCAAAGTAACAAGGTTTTACTGGGACAGGACATCCGTCAGAATGGAAGGGGCAGAGGTGGAGTGCCGAGGTTACATGGTTAAATGGAGAGAATACCCCTGACAGGCAGGCTGGCGGCCCAGCGGAGACTCCCAGTTTTTAAGGGAGTCTCTTTACGCCCTCCCCTTCTCCAGGACAGAGGGTTTGTTGGGTGTAAATTAGGAAACTCCTTCCCAAGTTTGTTATCAGCCAGAGGGAGTCTTGCTGCACCAGGCCAAGGGGCTTTCCCCTGGGGTGCCTGCCCAGGAGGAAGGATGTTTATCATGCCAGGTAACCCATTTGGTGCTGAGGAGAGAGAACTTGGGGGAAGGGCTGGGATCACCTGGAAGGTTACCAGGGCCTGGGCAGGACTTTGAAGTGCAGTGCAGATGCTGGATTGCTGTGGATATCAATTTCCTCAGGCCCTCTCACACACACATAGGCTAATTTCTAACTTCTACCTAACATTTCCATCGCCCACCCAGCTTTGTTCATTTTCTAGTAAAATCCTTCCATGATGGGCTGGACCTTTAGCTTGGTGATTCAAACTTGCCAAGTCTCACATTAGAATGCCTGGGTTTGATTCTCAGCTCCCACTCCTAACTCCAGCTTCCTGCTAATGCAGACCTTAGGAGGCAGTGGTGATATTCAAGTAGTTAAGTTCCTGCCACTCATATGGGAGACTTGGCTTGAGTTTCCAGCTCTGGGCTTCTGCCTGGCCTAGCCCTAGATTTTGTAACTATTTGGGGAGTGAACCAGAGGATAGGAGCCCTCTTGGATTCTCTCTCTCCCAGATTTTTTTAAAGATAAAATGCTCCCTCGATGAAACAACAGGGACATTCTTACCTTAATTGCAAATATTTCAGTCTGCCTGGAAATAAATACAAAGAATGAGGATGACGCAGGAGTTTGGTGCAGTGATTAAGACACCTCTTGTGACACTCACATCCCATATCAAAGTGCATGCGTTTGAGTCTTTGAGTCCCAGCTCTGCTTCCAAGTCAAGCTTCTGCTAATGTGCACCCTGGGAGACAACAGGTGATGGCTCAAATACTTGGATCCCTGCCACCCACATAGGAGACCTGGATGGAATTCCAGGCTCCTGGCTTCAACCCCAGCCTAGCCCTGGCTAGCATGGGTATTTGAGGAACCAGCTGGTAGAAGATATTTCCCTCTCTCTCTTTCTCTCTCTCTCTCTCTCTCTCTCTCTCCCTCTTTACCTTTCAGATAAAATGAAAATAAATAAAAATTTATGAAAAAAACACAAGCTATTAAAAACTTTAAAAAGAATAGGGGGTTCTCCAGTAGTGAATTGTGACCCTCACCCTGTCGCTCTCTGCTGGGTCTCCTTTTACTTCTCCGATAGGTCCTTCTAGGAGTCCCCTGCTTAGTCCTCTCTCTCCACCCCCCAGTTGGGCATTAGAGTTCCCAGGAGCATAACAACATCTGGCCCTATTTGCACAACAGATGGGCCTCACATCATTCCTTACCATGTGCCAGGGTTACAGGAGATGGCTGGAACAGGAATTCTTGTCTTCCCCTAGGAAAAGAATTTCAGACGTGGGCTGAGAGTAGTGGTAAACAAGGTGGCATCCCCCAGAAAGGTTGGGCACTTCTCCAGACAGTTCTGAGACAGTGTCCAGTCCACATTTAGACTGGGATTTTTAAGGATGTGGGGTCCAGGTTTTCCCTCCATTTCTCCTTCCCTGCCACCCACTTCTCCTGGACAAAGGATATATTGAGTATGAAATAGGTAAAATTCCTCCTGGTTTTATTACCCAATGTTATCAGACTAGGTGGCCCTCTTGGCGCCCGGCAGAGAGGATTCTCCTGGTGCGCCTTCCTTGGGGAGAAGGCTGGGACCTCTTATAAAGTTACTGGATATGGAGGACTTTGTAGTATAAAATACTGGCCTGCTTCCAATGTGAAGGCTGCTGGAACCTGCTACACTCCTTTCCATGGATGCTTTGTTTTCCTTAGGCACCCTTCACACACATAGGCTAATTTCTATCTTCCTACCCAACAGCAGAACCTACTCTCTGGGGACTCCCAAGTTTCTGCCACTAGATCCATCTCTACCAAATCAATGTCTCTCTGACTCCAGTTCTTTCCCAAGTCTAAGGATATTTTCACAGTATCAGAAATACATTTGATGCTCAGTTGATAATTGTGTGAAGGGCAGGCATTGTGGTGCGGTGGGTGAAGCACCACTTGCAAAGCCTGCATCCATGCTGGTTCAAATCCCGGCTTCTCCACTTCCCATCTAGCTTCCTGCTGATGCATCCTGGAAGGCAGCAGATGATGGGTCAAGTGCTTTGGTCCTCCACCTTTCAAGCAGATGAAAATAAATAGTAACTTTAAAAATGGTTAAGATGGGAAATTTCCAAAAATGTTGTTGTACACAGATGTACCTTAATATTGACACATCCACAGACCACATCAGTAACACCCCACCTGCACCCTTGCTGTGATCCCTACACTAGCTGGAGCATACGCTGTGACTCAGAGGCTTGACAAGAGGCCTTGAGGAGACCTCTGCTCTTCATTTCCCTTCACATCTGGTCACTTCTCATGACTGCCCTGTCCAAGCCTTCACCAGCGCTAACTTGGTTTTCCTGGCTTCTAGTGACTCTGTGTCTCAATCCTCTGCCATTTCTCCTATCCTTCCACTGCCACTAGTAGGATCTACCTAAAACACAATTTGATTGCATCAGCCCCCTACTTTACAATCCTTTTGTAAGTTCAGCTTTGTGTCTAGGGTCAGGTTCCAACTCCTTTGCCTGGCAAGTCCCTTCCCCATTTGGCTCCTGTTAATTCATTTTAGTCCCACCACTGTTGCCATAGTATGTGCTTAGATGTTTGTGATAGGAATGAATGAGTGAGTGAAGGTGGGGGCAAACAGACCTAAACATAAACCCTCACTGCACTAGTAGGATTCAGCACTGTTACCTTTCGGTTCATCAGCCAGAAGGAGAAACTTTGCCTACCCTAGAATTGTCTCTTTCACCAAGGGGTCGGATATGTGTCAGGTACTGAGACAGATGCTCTGGGTGCATCAGTGGACAAAAACTGACAGAACCCTGCCATCATGGAGCAGAAAGAAGAAAGCAGATGAAGAATAAAGATTGGGAATAGGGGTGAGGAGCTGTGTTACAAGATGCAGCAGGGTTTGAGAGCAGTCCTCATCGGGAAAGTGAGAATTGTTCATTGAGCGGGATCATGATATTTTTAATTTCCTTCATGCTCCTCACCTCTGGAGGCTATATTGAAAGAATAAAGAAACTAAAGTCAATTCCTCTGCATTCATAGAGTCAACCAACCACAAATCAAATATACTTTTTTTAAAAAAAAAAAATTACATCTGTACTGAGCATATACTGACTTTTTTCTTGCCTTTATTCCCTAAACAATACAGTATAACAGCTATTGGCATAGCATTTACATTGTGTTAGGTGTTATAGATAACCTAGAAAGGAATGAAAGTAGACGGGAAGATGTGTGTAGGATTCAGGTGAACGCTATGCTATATGTATAAGAGAGGGAGCACTGAGGGCTTGGATATCAGCAAGGGGCCTGGAATCAAGGCCCCATGTATGTTCTGAGAAACTGGAACAGGCATAGCTTTTCTTTCCTTATTTCTTCCTTCCTTTCTTTTTCTTTCAGATTTATCTATTTATTTGAAAGGCAGAGTTACAGAGAATGGTTTTATTACAAGGTTCTTATCTCTGCAGGAGAGAAGAATTCAAAGCAGACATAGATAAAGTGAAAGGATGGGAACAGGATCTAAGAAAGGGAAAGAGAACACATTCAGAGGTGAGGGTGGGCAGCGCATGAAGAGAAGAATGCACCCCCAGTTCAGAGCTCCCCTTTATTGGGCAGGGGGTATTGCCCTAATGGAATGCACAAATGAAGTGGAGTTTGGGCTGGGTTCAGTGTACATGATGGTCTCTGGGAAGATTTTCATGGAGTTCCACGTGAGGAAGGTTCTCATAGCTCAGTGTACACGTGTTCATCCTGGCATCATTCATGCTGTAGAAGACTCAGGAGGATCATGGGAATGTGGCTGCGCAGAATAGCAACCTCCTCAGTGAAGCTAGAGCGCAGCTTTCTTCACCTGCCTTATAATCTTCCTCCAACGTATTTAAAGAATCCACTTCTATTCAAATTGGTCTCAGCCTCATCTGGGTTCCTCTGTTGCTGTCTAGACATTGGAATAACCAGTCCCTCACAGGTCCAGCCCTGGGTGTTTTCCCATCGCTCACCCTGTAATGAACGTGCTGAATGCTTGCCTAGCATGACTAACCACTTACAAAAGGGCAAGTGTGATTCAGAAAACTCCACCAGAAATAATGCACTATTTGGCCTGATCTGATGCAAATGCAGGCGTTTGAGTCATAAAGCTCATCAGGAAAAGCGATGTATCAGACTCCAATAAAGATTTTAGCACAACCCAGATTTACAGTGGTATATTTAGGGTAGGCAATGGGGTAAATTTGGAAACAGGGGCAGATGACACAGGAAAGAGATTAATAATCTTGAACAAAAAGACTTTTTTGCTTCTCTGTGCCCAACTTCTGCCAGGAAAATACCTGATTTAGGAAACACCTCTCTGCTTTCCTGAGAAAAGATGGTTTCTGTGACCTGAGAGGGAGGGCTCGTTAGGGGTGACCCCCTGCTTTGGAATCTGGGTCAAGCTTGCGTTGGGCCCCCCTTGCCTACGTCCTTGGTCCCTGAGCTTTGTTGGTTCAAGTTTTTCTGTTTTTGTGTTGTTCAAAAATATTTAGTGATATGAGACAAGTCTTATGTGAAAAATCAGGATATAAAATGATTTTACAATATAATCTCAACTGGATGAAGTTTTTTTTATATTTAGAAATAAAAAAAAAAAAAAAGAAAAACTAGGGGCCAGCACTGTGGCATAGTGAGCTAAGCCTCTACCTGTGGCACCAGCATCCCATATGGATGCTGGTTCTAGTCCCAGTTGCTCCTCTTCCAATCCAGCTTCTTGCTGATGGCCTGGGAAAGCAAAGAAAGATGGCCCAAGTGCTTGGGCCCCTGTACCCATGTGGGAGACCTGGAAGAAGCCCCTGGGTCCTGGCTTTGGATCAGCCCAGTTCCAGCCATTGCAGCAATTTGGGGAGTGAACCAGCAGATGGAAGGCCTTTCTCTCTGTCTCTCCCTCTCTCTCTAACTCTCCCTCTCAAATAAACAAATAAAATCTTTTTAAAAAAATATATTAAAAAGTACAAGGAAGTAGATGTCATTAATAGTGAGTTTATCTGAATATCTAAAATTTTCTTCACTGTCATTTTTGGATTTTTCTAAATTTTCTGCATGAATGCATACTACTTTCCATAATCAGAAAAAAATATTATTTAAGATACATAAATTTGCATGCCATAAATAAAAAAGGAGGCATCCCACAATGATAAGAAAGATTATCTTTGTGTGGTAGATAATAAATTATTTTGTTTCTCCTTTATAGGGTTCACTGTTTTCTAAATTTTATAATGAGCAATATTATTCTTAGAATAGCATTTTGAAAAACAATTTTCGTAGGCTAAGTAGCATTCTAATTACCTTTTTTAGTGATTATTTTAAATTAAATGTTAGGTACATATGCTAACTAGCATATTAGGCATATTATCTCACAATTTCCCTTAATATGAATGTTTATGTTATTAAATATTCATCTGAAATATTTTTAATTGCTGAGTAATATTTTCCTGTGGCTTTTGTTACATACAGATGGTTTCTCTTCAGATCATATAAATCTTTTGCCTTTTGCATGCAGATTATTTTCTTTATATTTTTCAAGTTCAAACTCTTCAAGGACCATTCTTACTCATAAATCTTCCAGAGTCCTCTAGTTCTCTACAGTCTTCCGAGTGAAGGCAGGACAACCTTGGAGCACTGGTGTTTGCTTTGCTTTTGTTTTTTATTTTATTTATTTCTGTGCTTGAGAGACAGAGGAACCAGCAGATCTTCCATCCACTGGGTCACTCCCCAAATTCCTGCAGCTGCTGAGAGGACCATTCAATGCAGGTCTCCCACAGGGGCGGCAGGAAGCCAGTCACTTGAGCTGTCGCCTGCTCCTGGGGTCTGTATTAGCAAGAGGAGGGAATCAGGAATCAGAACCAGGAGTTGAGCCCAGGAAACCCGATGTGGGATGCGGGCACCTTAGACACTAGGCCACACGTCTGCTTCAGGAGCTTCTGTTTGCGTGAAGCTGCTCATGTGACGGCTGAGTTGTGCTGAGTCACTAGAGCTGCTGCTGTGGAAGGGCCTTGAACTCCAGCCCCACCCCGGCTGCAGCTTTGTTCTTCCTCCTCCTTCAACTGGTAACAGAAGCGCTGGGGCAGCAGAGGGAGCTACAGAAGGGGGAAAGTTGTGGCCTTGGGGAAAAGTCAGCCTATCATCTCTGTAGGAAATTTCAAGAAGGAGCCAGAAGCTCATTTTGCATGTGACGACTGTGTTTCAGGCCTTGCATTAGCATTTTTCACATCCACTATTGCATTTTAATGATCATCACAACTTTAGAGGAAAGAGAAACTGTATCCCATTTTCACGGATGAAGAGACTGAGGCTCAGAGAGGTCTGATGCACCCACACTTGAGGATGCTTGTTGTAATAGGTGTGGTGAGCGGCCTGGTGTCTCTTAAAGATCCCCTCTTTCTTCAAGTTCATGTCCTTTGTCTTGTATCCTCAGGCAGTTTGGTGGTTATGCCAAGGAAGCAGATTATGTGGCTCACGCCACCCAGCTGCGTGCTGCCCTGGAGGGCACTGCCACCTACCGGAGTGACATCTACTTCTGCACCGGATATGACCCTCCCATGAAGCCCTACGGACGTCGTAATGAGGTCTGGCTCGTGAAGACATAAGTGACTCGGAGCTGGGAAGTTGCTGGAAGCTTCTGTGTGTCTTACTGGGGGCAGGAGTGGGAGATGCTTCTCGGGTTCCAGCCACACTTAACCCACTTCCCTTCATCACCCGTGACTGCCAGTTTTCTGAAATCAGCATGTCCCATAGACTGAGGCTCTTTTTCTCATGGTTGGAAATAATACAGTCAAGATAGGAAGCTTCATTCTCATTGATTAAAAAACTCTATGGCTGACTAGAAAAACCTGGGCAGCATTTTCTCAGTCATCTGGGTCATTTAAAAGCTGATTTTTTAAAAAAATATATTGAATTTGTACTTTTGGTATTAAAGGGAAAATGTGATTTGTGCATGATCTTTCATGTGATTCTTACAAGAGATTTGTCTAAAAAAGGAACCAAAAATAAAAATCGTTGACTTAAACAGCTGAGACAAATCCTGAGTGTAGTT